AGAGAAGAGAAGAGAAGAGAAGAGAAGAGAAGAGAAGAGAAGAGAAGAGAAGAGAAGAGAAGAGAAGAGATTGATTTCAGTTTCATGAGCCCCATTCAATATTTGGGATATTTACCATAGGAAGTTCACAAGAATTTCCAGGCAGCGTTGCTCTATAGATACAAACTTTTGTAGAGCAGAACTGTCTGCAAGAGTAAAACTGTTGAAGGTATCTCAGTTACCACATGAGCCACAACACTGCATTGTGAGGGTTTGTCAGCCTTCAAGATTTTCTCCCTTTGCTTTGCATCTTTCGGCTGTAACGGGGGGAGGAGGGGAAAATGGTTATGGGAAATGAGCTGGAGATGTTACAAATCAGAACTGTATAAGCTAGGGGGGTAGATTCTTGCTTAGGTTTCTATCCTATGCTATGCGCAGCTGCAACTCTTTATCAAAATATGTCAAGGTCAACGGACAGAGGCCTCATCACTACCTGGAGATACTCACATGATGATATACACAACTTTTAATTGGATGAGCCAATTGAACTATTGGGGGTGGGAACGTTGCCATTACTTTGTATATGTGATTTACGCGCCCATTCTCTCATATTCAGAATTCTTTTGTTGCTAACCACTTGATTTCTAGCAAAAGATATCTTTTCTCTGATTAAAGGAGTCTAAGTATTTCTTTCTTGGATTTTGAATGGAGCACCAGCTGACAGGGTTTTTCCTAATGAAGAAGTCTATGTAGTTTTTTTTCCTCTTGTGTGTATTGGTATCTCCAATTAATATCATTTGAGTAGTGCTGGCTGGGGGAAAGATGGGAAGAGTTATAAATATATCTGAATAAGACTATAAAATATACCTGAATGGCACTGTAGCTCCAGTTGTCATTCATATGCTACAATGACTCTTTATGAGTTCTGCAGCATAGAGATCAATCAGTCAATCAGTCAATCAAAATATCCTTCTATAGAGTGCAATATAGAACATCGACACAAAAACCTGCATTAGCAGAAATCTCCCAACTCAAATCTTCTACTTGACTCCTCTTGATAGTCTCTGACTGAGGCCTCAAATTAGTGATTTTGGATTATTCTTTGAGAAACTGAAACCCGAATTCTAATTTGATTCTGTCCCCCATCACCCCCAGCTTCTTATTTCTGGCTTGAGTAGAGGGACAAACAAGGCATCACAGGTTACACATAATGCTAAACAAACTGCAGGCAGATTTCCTATCTTGGTTAGCTGCTCCTACTGACAGCATGAGCGATCAGCTGAGTAATCAAGCAGTATGCCTCTGCATAATTTTAGCATGAGGATGAGCATTAGATTGGGTTTTATGATTAGTGGCAGCCTCATATTACTGTTTCTGGCTCAAACTGAGGGTTTCAATTAGGAAAATATTTGCATTATTGCTAGGGTGAATTTTTGCATGAAGAATTTGTAGAAATCTGCATAATGTTTTGCTTTGTTTCAGGAAACAAAAGTATAAATCCTCTATTATAAGGCAGATTAATCTTGAAGAACGAATGGAAAGTTGATGAAAAAAGATATTGTATGTGTGATAAAATGATTAGGCCCGGAATATGGAATGCTTTGTGTGAATATGAGTTTTAAATTTGGCTGCTAATATGATAAAAGTGATTTAAAGGCAAAGCTTAGCTGACAATGAGAATGCTTTAAAAATTGCTTGGCACAGAGAACAAGTAAGACAAGGATTTGTCATGTCTCCTTGCTGTATGGTGTAACAGATTTAACACATAATCAGAGTTGGAAGGGACCTTGTAGGTCATCTAGTCCAACCTCCCGCCCAAGCGGGAGAATGTATAAGCAATTGTTCTTGTGACATTGGAGGTGTGTTGGCTGCAGATATAATGCACATGTACTTTTCCATGTATTTTGCTGGCTGAAATCTGAATGATTTGCAGTGAATGTCCAATAGAATGTTTGTACGTTGTAGCAAGGAGTGTGAAGCTGAAAATTCATGTGTCAAAGAACAAACATAGATGTGTTTGACAAAGAAAATCAAGTGATTTTATAGTTACATGTCTGTATGTGTGCACGTGTACAGGTGCATTATAGAAATGGGAGAAATTAGAACAAGGGGATGTATTGATATACTTTGGTAAAAGGTTTACCAAGTATGGGAAAATAAAAGCAGACCTTCTAAGATGGAAAAATACTATTGGAAAGATAATAAGTAGTCTGTGGATCACTAATAATGATTGGATTCTAGATTTAATATAGAGTTGGTTACCAGTAATAGTTTGAGATGTTTGGTCTTCTATAGAGACAAAGAATAAGGGTCAAAGTGCAAAACTAATATATAAGGAAGAGTGAATGAGTTGAAAGGAAGGGAGAAAAAACTGAAAAAAAAACATGATGACTTGATGAGTTATAACATCACTAATTATTTTTATTTTTAATTTCAGCATAAACTGTAAAAAAATTAAGACAAAGAACTTGTGTTAATCCTGAATTATTCTGCATTTAATTTCAATAGATTGTCCTCTTTCAGCTCACATGTTCAGCTATATGTTCCTATATTATCCTCAGTTAACAAGATGTTACATGAATTCTTGTATCTATGTGGTAGAAGTAATGTCATTTACAAGGATAAATAAATAAAATACAGAGGAATTACTACTTCAAATTTGCTATAGAGTGTATAGCAGCATACTCTTTAATTGATTTTTTTACCAATGTATCGTCACATAAATTGCCTGCCATAACTTGAGAGTTATTTTCCCTCTGTTTTTTTCTGTTTTTCTTTCTTATTCTTTTGCAATGATTTTAAGCACAAATAATTGTTAATATATTATCGTTTTAATAATAAATAACACCAAACTTCTCTTTGATATCAGTTCAGGGATAAATAATAACAGGGTTTATAATAAATCAATTACAATGGTACCTGATCAATGTATATTTTCTTCTTCCTTTATAATCCATTCAGGCCACCAGTAGAAGATTGTCAAACCCTTTTGACCCCTGTAGTGAGCTGTGGGCCTCCAGGAGCATTACTAACTCGGCCTGTCATTTTAACAATGCACCACTGTGCAGAACCAAACACCGAAGACTGGAAAATTCAGTTGAAGAACCAAGCGGACCAGGGACAATGGGAGGTGAGGTTCTTGCCTTTCACTTGCATGGTTCACATTGTCTGATCGAATATCCATTAAAATATATTTTTCCTGAAATGTATGTATTGTGACCATTTTTAATCATTTCATTCACATTTCCCACTGGGTGTTGGGACTGCAATTTCCATGGAATGTTTTGAGTTTTTAATACTTGCATCTAAGGGATGCGGTGGCTCAGTGGCTAAGACACTGTACTTGTTGATCGAAAGGTTGGCAGTTCAGCGGTTCGAATCCCTAGCACCACGTAACAGAGTGAGCTCCCATTTCTTGTCCCAGCTTCTGCCAACCTAGCAGTTCGAAAGCACGTAAAAAATGCAAGTAGAAAAATAGGGATCACCTTTGGTGTGAAGCTAACAGCGTTCCGTGCCCCTTTGGCATTTAGTCCAGTGCTGGGATTCAAATTTTTTTACTACCGGTTCTGTGGGTATGGCTTGATTGGCGTGACAGGGGAAGGATACTGTAAAATCTCCAGACAGAGGTGGTATTTGCCAGTTCTACTCAAACTATTCAACATTTTCACTACTGGTTCTCCAGAACTGGTCAGGACCTACTGAATACCACCTCTGGTTTAGTCATGCTGGCCCCATGACCACCGAGACGTCTTCAGACAGCACTGGCTCTTCAGCTTCGAAACAGAGATGAGCACTGCTTCCTAGAGCTGGAAACAACTAGCACATATGTGCAAGGGGAACCTTTACCCTTACCTTTTACTTGCATCTTGGCAGGCTATTATATTAATAGGGTAGAGCTATAAATTCTGAAGAATAGTAGACAGTATATTGTGTTACTCCTGATTGTTTGGTATGTTAGGGAAAAAACCATGATTCATGCCAATACTATCAAATAAGAATTAATGCCAGCAGTATTAAGCAGATTTTGGGTAGGTAAATGGGTTTTAAAAAGTTCTAAATGTTTATCAGAAAATGGTAGAGCTTGGAGAATTTCTATTCTTTCTTTTCTTTTCTGGAACACTTGTGGTCATTTTAAGCTGTTTTCTTAATTCATAAACTCTTAGAAGCATGCAGGACTAATGGGGTGTATCTAGTTATACTCCATATACATTTGGTTCTTCCATCTTGATATCGAAAGATTGAAGAGGAATGTAATATTCATATGAATACTACAGCCTTTTATGAACTTGAAAATTTTGTATAGTCCCAGAGATAAAACTTGATCAAACAAAATACAATAATCACATTCAACCAAGTATTAAAACAGTTCTTCTTTAGACTTTCCCTATCAATACAGAGATGTAAAAGGGGCATATCTAGTTCAGACATTTCCATCTTAACCTAAGTGCTATAATTTATGATTTCTTGAAATGTTTTTATCTTTTGTTATAATCTAACATTAACTTTATACTTGAAAGTCACTGGGAAAAAAGATAAGGTATGATGGCCTTTCTTTTTTAATAAACATCTCTTCAGTCCAGTTTTATTGTATTAATAACTCTTTTATCTACTCAGTGGTTGGAAATATGTCCAAACAGGTTTGGAACAAAAGAGTAATATAGGTAGTTTTTGACTTATGGCCACAATTGAGCCAACATTTCTGTGTCTAAGCAAGACAGTTGTTAAGTGAATTTTGCTCCAATTTATGACATTTCTTGCCACAGCTGTTAAGTGAATCACTGGAATTGTTAAATTAGTAACATAGTTGTTAAGTAAATCTGGCTTCCCCATTGACGTTGCTTGTCAGAAGGTCACAAAAGTTGATCACATGACCCTAAAACACTATAGCCATTATAAATATGAATAAATATGCCATGCATCTGAATTTTGATCATGTGACCATGGGTATGTTGCAATGGTCATAAGTGTGAAAAGTGGTCATAAGTCTTTTTTTTCAGTGTTGTTGTAACTTCAAACAAACATCAAATTAACTGTTATAAGTAGAAGATCACAACCTATACATTATTTTGCAGTAGGCGCCTGCTAATAAATCTGTACCATCACTAAAGTAGTCAGCATTGTTTCTCTGTTAGTTTTGGGACATGCTTGGTTAATATTACTTATTTGGTAAAGAAACACATACTGTTTCCTTTTAGATTTACTCCTGGTAGCATATTGATTTGAAAAAAGGAAAACAGCTCTTGCAATTCTGTTGAAAATCTGACCATTTTTGTATAATTATTTTTTGTAAAATGCACTTTGACATAATAATTTGAATTGTTTGCTACTTGTATAGAAATAGCAACTGAATAAAACACCAGATACTTCAATTCTAAAATCATATCTAGGCTTTAATATGCTGGTTTTATATTGAAATATTTGCTTTGTGGAATTTTCAATTAATGTTCAGAATATAAAGCAACAGACTTGTAAAATAAACAACTTGTTTTATTCACTGTCTAGAGACTAAACTTACAAAATTGAAACCTAGGTTGTTACTTGAATAGCCATACTTTGCTTAACTTCACATAAGATCTTTCTAGATACCCCTTTGAGTATGAATGATATTGGTACATGTGGAGTTGTTTTACCTTGTATTTCTATGTTATTTTTAATGTTGTTAGATACCTTGAGTAATGAACATACAGAATAACAGGAGATGAACTGAAGCATGTGTGTACGTGCATACACATTCAATATACATAAACTGAACACTTGTTGACTGAAGGCAGAGGTGGCATTCAGCAGGTTCTGACCACTTCTGGAGAACCAGTAGTCGAAACTTGGAGTAGTTTGGAGAACTGGCAAATACCACCTCTGAATGGCCCCGCCCCCATCTATTCTCTGCCTCCCAAGTCCCAGCTGATCAGCTGGGTCTTCTTTTGTTGCCCTGCATAGGAGAATGGACCTGGAAAGCAGGTTAGTGGGGTGGGATGGGAATGGATATTTTGCAGTATCCTTCCCCTGGATTTGGGAGGGAATGGAGCAGAGGTGGTATTCAGCAGGTTCTGACCAGTTCTGGAGAAGTGGTAGCGGAAATTTTGAGTAGTTCAGAGAAGTGGCAAATACCACTTCTGACTGGAGATTTTACAGTATCCTTCCCTTGCCATGCCCCCCAAGCCACGCCCACAGAACCGGTAGTAAAAAAAATTTAACACCATCACTGGAATGGAGATTTTGCAGTATCCCTCCCCTGCCACGCCCACCAAGCCATGCCTACCAAGCCACGCCATGCCCTCAGAACCGGTAGTAAAAAAATGTGAATCTCACCACTGACTGGGGGTATCTTAACAAGTGATCAAATCTTGTCAGGTAAATGTTTATAATAGGTTCTTTATTTCTTGCTTCTGGTCTGTATTGTATGAGGATTTGACAATAGGGAATGTCCTAAAAGCTCTTTCAAACACTGTAGTTCTGTGATAAGATATTTATTACACTTATCTTGGAAGACCTTGTATTTAAGAATATCTAATGCGACCTGCTTGCATTAATTATCAGTTTCCAGGCCCAGTTAAGGAGCTGTGGTCATTTTCTCCATTTGTACTAAGCAGTGTTTTTGTGAAATAGTTTTACTATCTAAAGTAAGATACATGGAAATTACATTTAGAGACTTCATAGTACTGTCATCCTGGCCAGGGAGCTCTATTTGGTAGACTCTTTTCAGTTTATTTTTTCTTCCTTTTGATCATATTAAGATGTATGTCATGTTTTCTTCTTGATGGTTTTCCATGCTATTAACTTTTATCCTGTGTATGATGTTCTGTTATTTTCTACACCTTTGATTTTATTATCAAACATTCTTGTAAACCATTCAGAACACTTTGCTATGAAAGAATATTGAAAATTAAATACATAAAAATAAGGATCCCCATTTTATTTCCAGGTTATCGAACATCAAACCTAGGAAAACCCTTGCTGATGTAGTCAGAATTGGGTTATATGTACTCATTATTTTGGCTCAATCTGTTGTACGTGTGAGCATACAATCTTGAACCAGCTTCTGACAGTATGTCATATTCCTCTTTGTGACCTTTGTCAGAGGTGGTATTCAGCAAGTTCCGATCAGTTTTGGAAAACCAGTTGCGGAAATTTTCAGAAATTCGGACAACCGGCAAATACCACCTCTGACTGGAGATTTTATAGTATCCTTCCCCTGTCATGCCCACCAAGCCACGCCCACAGAACCGGTAGTTTTAAAAAAATTGAATTCTACTACTGGCCTATATGCATCACCTACTTGGGTGTTATATCTGCATTGAGTTTCAAGCAGGAACACTTCAAAATTGAGATCCCCCCCCCCCCGCATGCTACATGGTCCCATTGTACATGTTTAAGAGATATTCCTACTTCTCCCTCTGATCCTTTTCAAAGAGCTGGTTTCAATAAACTCAGAGATAACTTGGGAAAGATTTCATGGATGAAAATCCTAAAGGGGAAAACAACTCAAGAATCTTGGGAAACTCTAAAAAGTATGATCATAGAAGCCCAGACCAGCACAATGCCACTGAGAAAGAAAAACAAGAAATCCAAGAAGAAACCAGCATGGCTGCACAAAGATCTCTCTGGCAAATTGAAAGAAAAAAAGGACAAGTACAAAAAATGAAAAGAAGGACATACAACTAAGACAGAATATCAGCAGACAGCCAGAATCTGCAAAGATGAAGTCAGGGTAGCAAAGGCTCAGACCAAACAAAGACTTGTAACAAAAGTCAAAGATAATTTTAAAAGTTTCTTCCAACATATAAATAACAAGAAAAAAATCAAGGAAACAGTCAGTCCACTAAAGAGAGAAGATGGCAAGGAAGTAACAGGCAACAGAGAGAAAGCAGAACTGCTTAACTCATTCTTTGCATCTGTCTTCATGCAAAAAGAAACTATAGCTCAACTCACCAAAAACATAACTGTAAAAGACAGACCAGAAATAAAAGTTAAAATAAGCAAAAAAATAGTAAGAGAACACCTGCCTGATCTTGATGAAAACAAATCACCGGGGCCTGATGGATTACATCCCAGAGTTTTAAAGGAGCTGGCAGATGTCATCTCAGAACCACTGCACCATATCTTTCAAAAATCCTGGAGCACTGGGGAACT